CGGCCACCAGAAAGCAGGGGTAGCTGGGAGGGGGTCGGGGGCAGTGGAGCTGGTCGGGAAGGGTCAGGGGGAGCGGGACTGACCCAGGCACATGCAGATCCCGGGGCACTGTCAGTCATGCGCATGGTCTGGAGAAGCGCGAGTGAGTCCATCTGCAGGGACAGGGCTTCTCCTCCTCCCCAAGGCATCAAATGCAGTGCTTCCCACCAGAAAGCAGGGGTAGCTGGGAGGGGGTCGGGGGCAGTGGAGCTGGTCGGGAAGGGTCAGGGGGAGCGGGACTGACCCAGGCACATGCAGATCCCGGGGCACTGTCAGTCATGCGCATGGTCTGGAGAAGCGCGAGTGAGTCCATCTGCAGGGACAGGGCTTCTCCTCCTCCCCAAGGCATCAAATGCAGTGCTTCCAGAGCTGATTGCGCCCCGCCTCCCAGCCACTCCCCCCAGCCCCCGCCAGGCTTCCGTCCGGCACCCAGCCAGAAATCCAGGAAATACTGGACATTACACATGTCCGGTATTTTCTGGATTTTTTTTACCAGACAGAGGGCCCAAAAACTGGACTGTCTGGTAGAATATCGGACACCTGGCAGTGCTGTCCAAAGATTCCCCAGCCTGGGACAATATTCATAAGGCCAGCTCGACCTGCTCTTTGTGTTCAATGTATACTTTAACCTGCTGAGGCAGAGCAAAACAGCCAGTGCACAATCCAAGATGCGACCCATTAGTTATATATAACTCCTCAATGGGCAGGGGGAGATAATAAAAAAATCCCCATAGCTGTGGCCAAAGTATAAAATGCTTTTTGTTTCTGTTGTCACCAAAAAGTGACTGGATGACAAAACATAGCGAATACCGGTGTCAGTGGCATAAGTTCTGTGGCAAATAAAGGAAAATAACAAGTTAGATGTAAACTACATCCTAGAATACTTAACAAACTGGCTGAAGAGATCGCTGAGCCATTAGTGATTATCTTTGACAACTCATGGAGGAAGTGAGAGATCTATGAGGACTGGAAAAGGGCAAATGTAGTACATAGCTATAAAAAGTAGAATAAGGACAACCCAGAGAGTTATAAGCCAATCAGCTTAACTTTCATACTCAGAAAGATAATGAAGTAAATATTGAAACAATTAATTAGTAAGCACAGTGAAGAAAATAAGGTGATAAGTCACTATCTACATGGATTTGTCAAGAACAAATCATGTAGAACTAACCTAATATCTTTTTTTGACAAGGTAACACGCTTTGTGGGAAGGGGGAAGCAGAAAATGTGATATATCTTCACTTGATAGTCTCCCACATGACCTTCTCGTGAAAAAACTTGAGAAATACAGTTTTGAACTGCTGGTGGTGCACAATTATTTAGAAAAGCATACTTAGTAATTACAGGCAGTCCCCGAGTTACGCGGATCCGACTTACGTCGGATCCGCAGTTACGAACGGGGCACTTCCTCTCCCTGGTCTCGAGCAGACCAGGGAGAGGAAGCAAAGCGGCGGCGGAACGCGCGGCCAGCTGACAGCCCAGACGCGTCTGGGCTGTCCCGCTGCCCCCGTGCTCCGCGGCTTTGCTCCGGCCGCCTGTGGTACAGCAGCTGGGGCGCTGCCGGTTGGTCCCGTAGCACCGCTCTGGGTGCCACTGGACCAACCCAGCAGCACCCCAGCTGCTCTGCCCCAGGTGTCCCCTAGTCAGCAGCTGCTGAAAATAACAAGTGGCTGGGCTTTGCTTTGCTCTGCTCCCCGTCCCCCAGGTCTGCAGACCAGGGGGAGAGGGAGCAGAATAGAGCAGAGCGGCGGAACGCGCGGCCAGCTGACAGCCCAGACGCGTCTGGGCTGTCAGCTGGCCACGGGTTCCGCCGCTCTGCTCTACTCTGCTCCCTCTCCCCCTGGTCTGCAGACCTGGGGGACGGGGAGCAGAGCAAAGCAAAGCCGCGGAGCCCGAGGGCAGCAGGATAGCCACGGCGCGTCTGGGCTGTCCCGCCGCCCCCATGCTCCGCGGCTTTGCTCCGGACGCCTGTGGTACAGCAGCTGGAGCGCTGCCGGTTGGTCCCGTAGCGCCGCTCTGGGTGCCACTGGACCAACCCAGCAGCACCCCAGCTGCTCTGCCCCAGGTGTCCCCTAGTCAGCAGCTGCTGAAAATGACCAGTGGCTGACTACAGGAAGCCCCTGCTCCGGGCTTCCTGGAATCAGCCGCTGATCAGTTTCAGCAGCAGCTGACTTGGGGATGCCTGGGGTTCTTAAGTTGAATCTGTATGTAAGTCAGAACTGGCATCCAGATTCAGCCACTGTTGAAACTGATCAGTTTCAGCAGCGGCTGAATCTGGACACCAGTTCCGACTTACATACAGATTCAACTTAAGAACAAACCTACAGTCCCTATCTTGTACGTAACCCGGGGACTGCCTGTATAAATTCACTTCCACCATGAATGTGAACCATAATGAGTGGGGTGCCACAGGAATCTGTTCTGTGTCTGGTTATGTTCAATATCTTTGTAAATTATTTAGATAAAGAATATGTGTATAGAGTTTATGGGTGATACCAAGCTGGCAGTAATTAAAAGCCCTTTGTAGGATAGGTTTAGAATTCTTGACAAACTGGAGACATGATCTGAAGTAAATAGGATGAAATTCAATAAGGACAAATGCAAAGAACTTCATGTAGGAAAGAATAATTAGTTGCACACATGCAAAATGAGAAATGACTACCTAGGAAGGAATCTGCAGAAAAGGGTCTGGGGTTATAGTGATCACAAAAAAAAATATATGTTAAGGGTGTAAAAGGTTGATTTAAAGATGTGTGTGATAAATTGTGCTTCTTAACCACTGAGGACAATATGTAATAGCCTTAAACTGAAGCAAAAAAGTTTTAGATTAGACATTAGCAAAAAATTCTTAATTGGAAGGGGGATTAATAACTAGAACAAATTACTTAGTGGGATTGTGGAATCTCCATCATTGGAAGATTTTAATAATAGGTTACTCAAACACCTGTCAGGTATGGTCTAGCTATTACTTAAGACATTTCTTCACTTCAGAATTAAATCAACCTAACTTACATCATCATACAGTTGCTGAAGTAATTACATTGCTTGTGCGTATCTACATTTGCTCTTGGTGTCAGTCCTCACCAGGAGCGTTTGTATCAATAGTACTGTCTGTATGTGGGGGTTGGGGAAGAAGCGGGGGTTGTGGGATGGTTCTTGAAAGCCAATAACAGTCGACATAAGCAATGCACTGATACTGCATCAATCTAACTACATCAACCTTGACTCTGCACCATGTGACTTCAGTGATTCGTGGTAGTCTAGGAATAGTGAACCATTTGCAAACACTCTACTACTTGAAAATTGGGCTGCTAGACAATTTTGTTAATACCTGTGACTAATACATTCACACACATAAGGATAGGTTTGCAAACAAATTCTGAACAGAAAAGAGGACTAAACTCATCTGATAATTGATTAATAACAAATTATATCACCAGCTCTAGCATTAAACTTTTTTGTAACACATTTTTAATGAAAGTAGGGAAGCCTAATTTCCTGATAATTGGGAATTGCCTGTTTTTGATTCCTTCTTTGGCCTTAAGCATGAATCACATAAGCTCCCCAAGTGAAATCCCCATTGACGTTAATGGCAGAACTTCACTGACTTCAATAGAGCCAGGATTTCAACCCCTTCTCAGTTTACCCCTTCTGTATAATATGGATTATGATACGTTTGTTAAACCTGCCTCATAAGGATGTTGTAGGGATTTGTTATTTGATGTTTGAATATTGAAAATGCAATTAACAATGACTGCTGTTTTACTTTGCCATTTCTGTTGTGTTATTTAAGAATTATTTCCCTTGTTTGTGATATTACAGAAATTAGAAGAAGCAGACCAAATAATTCTATGTGACTTGGTATGTTTTGGAAAATGGGACTGAATTAGATTCATGGCTAGTGATATGTTTAATGTATCTCTCTCTCTGGGTTTTTTTTTTTTTTTTTTGTAGCTGTCATTGAAAAGAAGAGGGAGCAAAGACTTGCAAAAATCAGAAAAAAAGTCACAGCAGACACCCACTGAGGTATGTTGAAATAACAGCCGTGGAGCTATGGCAATTTCCATGAACTGAAGATCTGGCCCTTCGGTTTTGTTTCTAGTTTTGATGTTTAATCTACATCATACTGCTATATGGTATATAGGGGCCTTGGGCCTTGTCTCTCAGCTTGACAACAAGCCCAGTCCCTTACTAAGGAGAGTACAAGTAGACATGTACACTGACTGCAGTAGGGCTCTGCATGGGGTCAGCTCCAGCTTGTAGGATCCAGGTGAAAGGCAAAACTCCCATTACAGTCAACAAGAGTTGTATCTGAATCAAGACTCGAGGACTTGGTCCTTTGGGTGCTGACTTTGAGAGTCTTTTATGGGTATGTTGCCTTATTTGACTGACTTTCAATTTTGTTTTTGTAGCCTTTTGGTTACCAAAGTTTAAAAAGTGTCATCTCACTCTTTCTTCTCTTTCCATACATCATGAGCCAATAAAAATCTCATTCTTTCATGAAAGGCTGCTGAAAATGTAGGCTTTCTCATAACGGTGCAGACTTTCATAGCAAAGAAAGAAGGCTTTTTTGGTCTTCAGATGTAGAAAAATAGTTGCTGTAGTCATATTTTAACTTCAGAAGTTAGGTTGCTTTTATTGTTAACCTTTTAATTTCAAGCTGTGTTTCATTTCAATTAGTGCTTTCTTTGTTGATGTAAAAAAATGTTTTTTTTAAAGGAGGACAATGAAGATCTGAAATGTCAGTTGCAGTTTGTTAAAGAAGAAGCTGCCCTTATGAGGAAAAAAATGGCGAAAATTGATAAGGAGAAAGACAGATTTGAACATGAGCTTCAAAAATATAGATCATTTTATGGGGATCTAGACAGTCCCTTACCAAAAGGTGAAGCTGGAGGACCACCTACCACAAGAGAAGCAGAGCTCAAGCTTAGACTGAGACTTGTAGAGGAAGAAGCCAATATCCTTGGAAGGAAAATAGTAGAACTGGAAGTAGAAAATAGGGGACTGAAAGCAGAGCTTGATGATTTAAGAGGAGATGATTTCTCAGGAACAGCAAACCCCCTCCTGGGGGAACAGAATGAATCTCTCTCAGAGTTACGGCAGCATTTGCAGCTAGTAGAAGATGAGACAGAATTGCTGAGGAGAAACTTGGCTGACTTGGAGGAACAAAACAAGCGCATCACAACAGAGCTAAATAAATACAAATACAAGTCTGGCACCCATGAGAGCTCGAGGCACCATGATAGTGCCAAGACAGAAGCACTGCAAGAAGAGCTAAAAGCTGCCCGAATGCAAATCAATGAACTCAGTGGAAAAGTCATGCAACTTCAGTATGAAAACAGAGTGTTAATGTCCAACATGCAGCGGTATGATTTGGCCTCTCACCTTGGGATCCGGGGCAGCCCCAGAGACAGTGATGCTGAAAGTGATGCAGGGAAAAAAGAAAGTGATGATGATTCTCGCCCTCCCCACCGCAAAAGGGAAGGTCCCATTGGAGGGGAAAGTGACTCTGAGGAAGTACGCAACATCCGGTGCCTGACTCCCACTCGGTCTTTTTATCCTACACCAGCTGGATGGCAGAAGAACTTCACAGATCGACAGCAGATGAAGGACATCCGCTCCGAAGCTGAGCGATTGGGCAAGACAATAGATCGCCTGATTTCTGATACGAGTACCATCATAACGGAGGCAAGAATTTATGTGGCCAATGGGGATCTGTTTGGACTGATGGATGAAGAAGATGATGGCAGTAGGATTCGTGAGCATGAGCTTCTTTATCGAATCAATGCGCAAATGAAGGCATTTAGGAAAGAACTCCAGACTTTCATCGACAGACTAGAAGTTCCAAAATCATCAGATGACCGAAATGCAGATGAACCTTTGTCAGTGAGTCAGGTAGTTTTTTACTTATTACAGCCTAGAGGTAAAAAGACACTGCCAAATAGTTTAAGCCTCTAATTTGATCTACAAAGCATTGCAGTTATTATCTGGTGAGTAAAATCTGTGGTCTAAATAGCTATGATTTAATTTTACATCGCCCAGTCCATCACATGGTCCCCTAATGACGTCAATGAGGCTACTCATATGAGTAATGACTACTCAAGTAAGGAAGGGGTTTGTAGAACTGGGCACCTGAACATTAAAAAATAAACAAACAAAATTCTGTAGCTACTGTTATTGTGGTAGATGGAACATTCTGGCTTAGGGACAGTGTTTGTCAGCACTATACTGATATCACCAATAGTGGTAGTGCACTAATGGAGTGCAATATAAGTGTTATCTAGGTGATGACCAGTGCTTCCTGTAAACTGTGTATTTGTGCAGCCACTCAGGAGAAATTCAAATGCTGCCCAGCTGATTATCAGAGTGCCAACAGCCAGGTATTGTGTTTCCACGGTGGTGCACATTCACACATGCCTCGATACACACAGCAATTATTTCACACATGGATGGAATAAAATCTGCACCTGGATGGAAAAGATGAGCAGGAACATTGGTGATGACCAAAAACAAACTGTAGAATAGAATATAGCACTAGCTTTAGCTGATTAAGTGGCAAACGAAACATGGCTCACTGCATCTAGAGTGACTCGAACTTATGCCGTAGTGCAAGAAAAAGAATAAAAAAAGAAACAGGAAACAACAAAACTTCTCCATATTATGTGCAATTTTTGCCATGCTGAATTCAGGGAGATAATTCATGCCTGACCCCCGTGACTATCATCTCATGCCTTGAAGAATAAGGTTTAACTACTCTTATCTTAACATGAACAACTACAAATATTGCTATTGGTTCTAAAATTCTCCAGATTTCATAAAAAGTCTCTTATTAATTTTTACAGTATTTGTAGCCTTACAGTCAGAATTGTTGTCATGTGAAGCTAAAAGCTGTGATTTCTTATTTGTATGCTGGGTAATTCGAGTGTTTGTTCCCTTGTATCACAAAGTGGCAGACACAATTATTTACTGTTCTATAAGTGCGCTGCATAAAATCAAAGTGTGACAGGGTGATTGCATCTTTTTATAGAAGGAAAGGACATTATATCATATTCTCATCCAGACTATGGCTTGATCTGGCATTTATAATCATAGAATCATAAAAATGTAGGGCTGGAAGGACTTCAAAAAGTTATGTCCAACTCCTTGCGCTAAGGCAGGACCAAGTAAACCTAGACCATGGCTGACAGCTATTTGTCCAATCTGTTCCTAAAAAATCTAATGATGGGGATTCCACAACCTCCCTTGAAATTTGTGTCCCGATATCAACCCTAAATCTCCCTTGTTGCAGATTAAACCCATTACTACTTGTTCAATAGACATGGAGATTATCACAGTCTTCTTTATAACAGCCCTTAGCATAATTAAAGTAGGCTATTAGGTCCCCACCTTTGTCCCTCCCCATATTCTTTTCTCAGGACTAAGCATGCCCAGTTTTTTACATCTTTCCTCATAGATCAGTTTCTAAACTTTTTACTGTTTATGTTTCTCTCCTCTAGACACTCTCCAGTTTGTCTACAACTTTCCTAAAGTGTGGCACCAAGAACTGGTCAGTCCTCCAGTTGAGGCCTCACCAGTGCCAAATAGAGTAGGACAATTACTTCCCATGTCTTACTCCTGTTAATATATCCAAGAATGATATTAGCCTTACTCACAGCTGCATCACACTATTGACTCATCTTCATTTTGTGATCCACTATAGCCCGCAGATCCTTTTCAATGGTTCTGCCACTAGCCAATTGCTCTGCACATGTAGAACTCCCATTAACTTAAAAGGAGACCTGTGCATGGAGCATGTGAAGGATGGCACATGTACTTTGGAAGAGTAATTGATAACTTAATATTTTCTAAAACAGAAAAACCAAATACAGTATTTAACTCAGCAATTTGGGGATGTGTCCTTGCCGGCATTCTGTATGCAGACCTCCCATTGAAGCAAATGAGAGATCAGCACATACAGGATTAAGTCCTGTTTCACTGATTATTCTGTTGAAATGTTGAGCTTTCTTTTTTATTAATTATCTGTTCTCTGTGTCTTTGTATTTACTTTCCCAGATGTTCCAGCCTATCATTTTACTTATTCTCATCCTTGTGTTATTTTCATCCCTTTCTTACACAACAATATTTAAACTTGTCTTCCTTTTTACGCTATTTTTTGTACTGTAAACCTTTAATCATTTAATGTTCATTGTAGTATTATTTTCAGTTTGTTCATTTTGTCCACCCTCCAAGATAAGAAGTGCAAGAGATATAGTTTCTGTAGTAGCCACTGCTGTAAAAACACTGAAGACTACTTGTTTGGAAAAAAAAAAAGAACAAAACAAAGTGAAACAAAAACAAAAAGCAAACAAAACCTAAAAAAGCCACCCAGTTGAATAAGAATTTCGCTCCCCAAGGTATTCCAGGTAAGCTAACAGAAAATAGGTTTTTTAAATTTTGTATTAAGAAAATTGTTTTATACTTTTTATAATAAAAATATTCTTGAGAAAATTAAATCAATGTAGCTAGCATGTATTAATTTTGTACTGATTAGAATTGATAGCTGTATTTTGTTTTCTTTATTTCAAAATATTTGTATTGCAGTCCCAAGTGAACAGTAAAATCAATTCCAGTGTTTGTTACAATTGTTTTTCATTGCTTTTGTACAAATTGTGTGATGGTGGACTCATTTGATAATGGTGTTTGACACTCAAATCCAAATGATAATAACAAGAGCTTTGCATTTAGTCTTCCTCACACGTATTGTATTCTCCTGGGCGGGGATGAATATCCAGAGTTTCCTTTGACATTGCTGAAAGTTGTGGATACTTAGCAGTTTTAAGGTTCAGGCTTATGGAGGGAATTTTATATGCTATCCTGTTTGAGCTCCTTGTTATTTCTGTTGAATGGTGATTTGAGAGAGAAGGTGTCAAAATTAGAATGGTACAATTTGGTGTGAAAAACTTAGGTTGAGAGGTGACATAGGAATAGAAAAACTGTGCAACGTTCACCTGGTCTGTCCCACAGGCCTATTATTGATCAGCACACTAGCTTTATCCAGTGGCCAATGCCAGGTGCCCCAGAGAGAATTAACACAACAGGTAACTATCAAGTGATGTGTCCCCTGTAGCCCATTCCTAACTTCTGACAAACAAGCTAGAGACACTATTCCTGCTCATCCTAGCTAATAACCATTGATGGACCTATCCTCCCTGAATTTATCTTGATCTTTTTTAATCCTGTTGAAGTCCTGACCTTCATAACATCCTCTGGCCAGGAGTTCCACAGGTTGACTGTGCGTTATGTGAAGAAATACTTCCTTTTGTTTGTTTTAAACCTGCTGTCAGTTGATTTCATTGAATAATCCCTAGTTCTTGTGATGTGGGAGCAAGTAAATAACTTTTCCTTATTTACTTTCTTCACAGCAGCCATGATTTTATAGACCTCTATTATATTCCCCCTTACTCTTCTCTTTTCTAAGCTAAAAAGTCCCATTCCTATTAATCTGTCCTTATATCAAGCTTTTTTAACCCCCTAATCATTTTTGTTGCCGTTTTCTGTACTTTTTCCAATACCAAGATAACTTTTTTGAAATGAGGCGACCACATTTGCATGCAGTATTCAAGATGTGGGCGTACCATGGATTTATATAGACTGGGAGTCAATAAAATATTCTCTGTCTTATTTTCTATCCCTTTTTTAATTGTTCTTAAACATTCTGTTTGCTTTTTTGACTGCTGCTGCACATTCAGTGGATGTTTTCAGAGAACTATCCACGTTGTCTTCCAAGATCTCTCTCTTGAGTGGCAACAGCTAATTTAGTCCCATCGTTTTGCACATGTAGTTGGAATTGTTTTCCAATGTGCATTACTTTGCATTTGTCAACAATAAAATTCATCTGCATTGTGTTGCCCATTCACTTAGTTTTGTGAGATCCTTTTGAAGCTTTTCACGGTCTGCTTTGGATTTAACTGTCTTGAGCAGTTTAGTATCATCTGCAAATTTTGCCCCTCATTGTTTTCCACATTCTCCAAATCATTTATGAATATGTTCAATAGGACAGGCCCCAGTACAGAGCTCTGCAGGATGCCTCTAGTTACTTCTCTCCATTCTGAAAAGTGACCATTTATTCATATCCTTTGTTTTTTATCTTTTAACCAATTATCAGTCCATGAGAAGACCTTCCCTCATGACAACTTACTTTACTCAAGAGCCTTTGGTGGGGAGCTTTGTCAAAGGTTTTCTTGAAATCTAGGTATACTATACCCACTGTATCCCCCTTGTTGAACCCCTCAAAGAACTCTAGTAGATTAGTAAGGCATGATTTCCTTTTACAGAAACCATGTTGATTTCCCCCCAACAAATTATGTTCATCTATGTGTCTGACAAGTAGGTTTTTTATTATAGTTTCAACCAGTTTGTCTGGTACTGAAGTTAGACTAACCCCATGCACTTCTGATTTTCAAGAATGCTCATCACAGCTAAGTATAGCTAGGAATGAAAACATACATCCTGAAAAAAAAGCCTCCGCTAGTATAAAGTGCATCAGCCTTTTTGCTTAACAACATAGGTTGCCATGGCCTGTCACAGCAGTGCTCTGTTCTCTGCACATGTTCCCAAATTAATAAAGTCCAGGTCAGTGCCTTTGTCCTAGTATTCAGAAACTTCCAGGGGATTGGCCCCAGCTGATTGAAAGCATGCCTTTGATGGTTAGAAACTCAACTTTTATAGGCGCTTGGACCTCAGTATTGGAATTCATTCTACAGGAGCTAAGAAAGTAGTAACTTCACTGAATTAAAAAAAGACCTCGTTTCTTTGATTGAGCTTTCTCTCAAAAAGCTCTTCTCACATATCATAAAACAAAACAATCAAAAATCAAAATCCTCCCAACTATAATTTTGTTAAGAAATTTACTGCTATCTTTAGTGAAGAAAACAAAAGATACTGCCTTTGCTATTTTAAATTATTGAAAGGTGCGCACATGCTATGGTAATGAGCAACACATAAGGACACAGATGGGTGAGTAGACTCAGGTTCTCAGAACCTGAGAGGACTTGCCAGAGTAGTGCTAGAAAAAGTGATCTTAAACTGTCTTTGTGTTGCTCAGATTCTGGGAAAGGATGGTCCCTGGAGTAAATCAGGGGACCCTGAAGGCTTCCCTAATTTATGTCCAGTTGCCCAAGGGATCATTCCATCTATCAGAGACTAGCAGGGTTAGGATTGCTATGGATACATCATTTCCCCCCAAAAGGAATGCACATAAACCTCAAAGGGACATGCACTTATTGCTTGGTGACTTTTCTTATTCACAGAAAGGTTACTGAAGAAGAAAGCCCTTGCTTTTTCCTCATTCCCTGCCTCTAATCATTGAGATTTCTCACCACTAAGTGCCTTTTTCCAGAGTGTTGTACTAGAACAATTAAAAAATATCTCCAAGCTAAAGCTAGTCATATGAGAATTTTAGCACAAAAGGGATTTTTGTTGATTTTTAAATCTCTCTTGAGGGAAAGATCAGTTTGTCATTTTTAAATGTTAATTATTCAATCAATAGAAGAGAAAAATTCAAATCTGAGCCTGGAATGCTGGACATGTGGACTTTAACACATATGCTTCTGTATCATTTATTTAATAAAAGTATCTGATAAGGGCCTTATTCTCAATTCCGTCACCCAAATTTAAATCCAGAGTGATTCTTTTGAAGTCAGTGGAGCCACTCAGATTTCTATGGTGTGAAATCTGGGTTAACTCTCAATTATCTTGATTAGTGTATATTTATGTTCCTGTAAAGTTATATTCTGGTGCAATATGTTTATTAATTTATAGTGGTCCAGCATTCTTTCTGTAAACAATATGACTGAATTTCTTCAGGAGTTGTAAGCTTTACAAAAATTAATTTTTAGTATCCCTATTACAGCAAATCATTCACATAGAACAGCTTTAATTCATCTGTTGAAGGTATTTGCAGTGATTTGCTTCTGTCTTGGAGTTCAGCAGCAGTGATAGGTCCAATAATACTATGAAATTGTGATATCTGAATCAAGAGGTGGGAATACCCTTGTATAGGACAGAGAATTTGTAACCTCTTCAGTTTATCAAGGTACCTTCTCTTGTCTGACAAGATCACACCCGCTTTTTCTGAACTGAGTTTAACTCTTTCAGTGCTCTAAGTTAGGCATTGAGAAAGTGGACCAAAGTCCATGTTCCATGAACTTCAGCAGAGCTCAGATGATTTACATCAGCTGAGTAGAGCTAAATATCATCAATGTAGCATATAGTCCTGCAAACCAAATCATCTCACAATCTTCCTAGAGGCCTTGTATCTGTGTTGAACAAGAGGATTCACAGAGTGGAACTCTGTAGGCCATGCCCTTGTCTACAGTAGTAATTTACATTGGTATGACTACATCTCTCGAGGGTTGTGCGGGGAAGAGGTGAGTGAAAAATCCACACTGCTGAGAGACGTAGCTATACAGTACAGTCTCATTATAATGAACCTGTTGGAATTGAAGCCATTTGCTGCCGTGGGCTATAGCAAAACAGCCCTGCTCCTGTCGGGGAAGGGAGGGAGGATAGCTAACAGCTCCTCCAGCCAGTGGCAGATTAAGAATT